AACAAAAAAAAATTGTCACCTGAGACAGTCGCCTGGACAAGAATGATGACTTCGACCGAGACAAACTGATTGTTACACTGGCTCAACAATGCACTCCTCGGAAAGATAAGAGGACAATTCGAAATTTTCGCTATGAATACTTCAGAATCTTTCCTACATTGTGAAGTCAAATGAATACAAAAGTTAAAGGATTAAGCATTTAGCAGGCCGCTCATACTGCTTAGTGAGTCTCCTATATACTAATCATAAATTCCGTATAAATAAATTTAAATTATATATTTCATGTTTGAGATAAATAATTTTCACTATACTTGAATTATTTAAAACGAAATCTTGTTCACATCAGGGTAGTTATAAATATTATTATTACTATTTTTATGCTAATTTTCATCCAGTACAAAGCGCAAGAGCCACTCAAACTAGAAAGCGTTGTATGAGTGTAAGAAAAGGCAAGAAGTGAAGTTATGCAGGAAACCCTAGACTTGAAGAGGTCAAAATTGTATTTATTGGGAAAACATCCTGCCTTGAGGATGTTCCACAAATCATAGGACAACGTTTCGATCTAGTACCCTCTGGTTATCATCAGGTGTCCATTGTTTTTTCTGATATATGATAGGTGTGGATTATTGCGTTGTTTTGTCCCTGTGATGCCAGTTATTGTTCGTTCCTGTCGAATCAGTGTTTCCCGACCTAATTAAGGGATTGAACCCACAGACATGTTTTTTTTATTAACCCCAAAATCTCCGATGCTACTATCCCGAAAGACAACAGTGGTATATTTTTAGAGACTTTATATTCAATGTCATCTGGTTTCAACATTTGATTATTATAGCGAGATCATGTTGCTTTTCGATAATTTTTTTATTTTACTTTTGAGATGAGTGAATGTCAATATACTTAAATTATTTGGAAGAACTGGTCTAGTCTTAGTTGTTACTATAGACACAAAGCACGATAATTGTCATCCCGGGGACCAAAAAAAAACCAAAAAAAAAAAACCCAATAATCAACACATATGTTGAACAATCAAAAGAAAAGTTAAATCCTTCTCTTCAGCTTTGAAAGATGTGCAGCACAAAGGACCATCTCATACCATGACAATGTAACCACAATGTAACCACAATCAAAACAATATTCATTTTTCAAAAAAAAATAATTTTATATTACTCTGATATTATAATTTTAATTAAAAGATCTTGGAAAAAAAGATCCTTTTAAAGGTCTGTCTTTTTATATATGATAATTTATCTATGTAGGTTGGAATTTTCTCCATTTTTGGAAATAAGAGGCTTTCCACTAGGGTTTTGTCCTGTTATCCTTTACTGCAATTACTTCCATGTTAGATTGGTTTTTTCCTTTAACAAATTCCATTCGTGTTATTTGGCCAAATATTCATCAATATCCAAATATTTTTAAGTTGGCCTCATCGGAAAAAGAACCAAACCAGTGAGACATGTCAAGTTTTCACTTAGTCAAATAGTAAGTGTTCGTTGAAATAACGGTAATAAACATACGAATTAAGAAATAATATATTGCACTCTCTTCTATCTATCTATCTATCTATCTATCTATCTATTCATCTATCTATATATATATATTTATATTTATATATTAGGTTGGTGCAAAAATAATGACGTAATAATGTCGTTTTTTGACGTTAAAAAATACCTCAAAAAGACATTATTACGTCATTATTTTTTAAATAATATATATAAATATATATATATATATATATATATATATATATATATATATATATATATGTGTGTGTGTGTGTGTTTGTGTGTAAAAATAAATATCCTCGAATGGAGTATGTCTGTAGAAGGGACAAACGTTGAAATAACGGTAATAAACATACGAATTAAGAAATAATATATTCCACTCCCTTCTATCTATCTATCTATCTATCTATCTATCTATCGATCTATGTATATATATATATGTGTGTGTGTGTGTGTGTGTAAAAATAATTATCCTCAAATGGAGTGTATCTGTAGAAGAGACAAAATGAATAAAAAAGACAACAGGAAAAACAATACATAGCCGACGAGTTTCGTCCTCTAAGGGACTTTATCAAAGCAATGTAGGATTTATTATCCTGCACGTGTTTATATAACCAGCGGCGAGGATGTCATTTGTTTATCCATTTTATATTGTAAATTTGAGAACGTTCATGAATGTTCATCATGTATATGAAAGATCAGTCAAAGCATGTCGCGAGAAAAAAAAAATGTCCTAATTCAAAGTCCGGTGAAACGTAAAGTGATCGAGTAATATTCAATAATGTTTTTTGAAAAATGAATATTGTTTGGATTGTGATTACATTGTCATGGTATGAGATGATCCTTTGTGCTGCACATCTTTCAAAGCTGAAGAGAAGTATTTAACTGTTTTCTTTTGATTGTTCAACATATTTGTTGTCCTTGGGAAAATAGTAATTTGTTATGAGTTTGGGGAAAAACTGGAGCGTAGATTGATATTATGATAATATTCAATGGCGGCACTCTCGAGAATTTTGACCATTCCGCCACCTGATGAACACTCATGAGCGTTTTCAAATTTACATGTCTTGATAAAGCAATGACATCCTTGCCTCTGTGTATATAAGCAGCATAATAAACCTACATTGCCTTAATAAAGTCACTCAGAGGACGAAACGCGTCGGCTAAGTATAGTTTTTTCCTCTTGTCTCTTTTTATTACTGCTACTAATGCAATACTCTTCCATAAAACGAATCGAGTTCTCTCAGTCACTGGCGTGTTTATCTAAAAATAAATACGCTTAAATTCACCTTCATCCCTGCCGAGCCCCAACGGCTTAGAGGTAGACTATCTGACTGACGCATATTCAGTCGGCTTTCGATCCTAGCTACAGGTAACAGAACGTCTAGCCATACTGATGAGCTGTGATACAGCGAAACAGTCTGTCTAGGAATAACTATATATATATATATATATATATATATATATATATATATATATATATATGTGTGTGTGTGTGTGTGTGTGTGTGTGTATTTGGGTAGAAATGCCTCTTTTATATATTTCATTAAAGACGATTGAAAAGTTACAGTAATTAGGCTTAAAGATAACACATATGATAAATAACATAGCAATGTGCTGATCGTTTTTGGAAAATAAGAAAAGCATTCCGATCACTACATATACCTATATACAAATTTCTACATATCCAGTTAAAAGATACTTGATAATGCCTAATAGAATAGCCTAAAGCATGTGGATATATAGACCGTTTGCACAGATTTTACACCCTTTATATCCAGTGTGTTTGTATAAAATTTTTTTGACTCTGTTTATATATATATATATATATATATATATGTGTGTGTGTGTGTGTGTGTGTGTGTGGTATGTTTGAACTTACATCTGTACACGTAATCCCCGCATGCGTATTTCACTTGCACCTAAAAATCTACATGTACCCAGTAACTTAATAATGAAATATACTATTTTTTTCTTAAAGAACAATGCTGTCATTTAAAAATGCCATTTCTGGTTTTGTCATCGTTACCCCTTCACTACTTATCCCCCCCCTATTTGTAATCCTTTTTCAAAATATTTCTCATCTGGTTACTCTAGACGCTTCCGCCTGTACCAACGCCCCCCTTCCATCACCTTCTTTTATGCAAAATTATAACAGATGCAAAAAAAATACATATATTTGGACGGGTGGTAAGGATAAGGTATGAGTTTTTATTGTTGTTTCTATTGTCGCTGACATCAGTTGTAACCCCCTCGCGACTCCGAGGCCTAGGAGGTACCAAACCTGGGCGCCTAAGTCATGAGTCAGCGCCTCAAATCTAATAAGAGAAGTTTGGCCGCTGTGTGACATATAATCTGCCACTTTGTGAAATTTATCTGCATTCTCGCGTGATAAATAGATAGATAGATTTCGATAGATAGATAGATTAGAACAGACTGAAATAGATAGATAGATTGGTAGGTAGGTAGCTAGCTAGGTAGATAGAGATAGAGTGGTAATTATATATATATATATATATATATATATATATATATAGATAGATAGATAGTTAGATAGATTGGTAGGTAGGTAGCTAGCTAGCTAGGTAGATACAGAGATAGACTGGTAAGTATATATATATATATATATATATATATATATATATATATAGATAGATAGATAGATAGGTAGATCGATAGATAGATTGGTAGGTAGGTAGCTAGCTAGCTAGGTAGATAGAGAGATAGACTGGTAGTATATATATATATATATATATATATATATATATATATATATATATATATATAGAGAGAGAGAGAGAGAGAGAGAGAGAGAGAGAGAAAAGATAGATAGATAGATTTGATAGGTAGGTAGGTAGATAGCTAGGTAGATAGAGAGAGAGACTGGTAATTATGTATATATATAAAAATATATATGTATATATATATATATATATATATATATATATATATATATATGGAGAGAAAGAGAGAGAGAGAGATAAGCAGGTGAATAGATTGGCAAGTAGATAGATAAATATAAATATAGATATAGGTAGGTAGGTAGGAACAAAGATAGATAGATAGATAGATAGATAGATAGATAGATAGATAGATAGATAGATAGATAGATAGATAGATAGATTAATAGCTAGGTAGATAGATAGACTGGTAAGTATATATATATATACTTAATATATATATATAAATATAAATATAGATAGATAGGTTGGTAGGTAGGAACAAAGATAGATAGATAGATAGATAGATAGATAGATAGATAGATAGATAGATAGATTAGTAGCTAGGTAGATAGATAGACTGGTAAGTATATATATATATATATATATATAGATAGATAGATAGATAGATAGATAGATTGGTAGGTAGGTAGGAGGAGTAGCTAGCTATGTAGGAAGAAACCAAGATAGACAGGAGCATACCTAGATAGAAAGTTAATTTGTGTGCATATATGTGAAAAGGAAGACAGAGTGAAAAAGAAAGAAATAAATAAAGAAAGAAAGAAAGAAAGAAAGAGCAACAGATCGCTTTAACAAGTACACGAAGCCATGTGAGTACACACAGCTGTCTAGCGACTAAACATTGTTTCAGTTCAACAGTTCATATCTTAACAGCATTTACATCCAGACATCACAGACAATTTGACGACTATACTTAGTTGGTAAACTTTTCACGCAATATTTAAAAAAAACTGATTTACTCATGACGTTAAAAACGACTGTATATTTACTATAAGAAACTTTTCACGTGTGAATCTTTAAATATATATTTTCCAATTATATTAATCTGTAGTCATTCCTGGGGAGTCAGTTTATTCCCATCCATCAGATCGATCGCAGTGAAGATTAAAAGGTCATTGTGAACTGCACGACCTTTTTTATAGCTGCATGCATATATGCTTTGCCAGGTCTATATACAGTTTTGAATAGAGTTATCCTTCTCTTAGATTGGTTGCCAGTCTATTTTACTATTTAGCCCATAGGTGGAGGAAGCGATGGATTTTTGCATTTTGCACAAGATTATTTGTGCAAACCTGGGATAGCTGTCTCTTATACCACCTGCACATCCAGCATTGACAACAGGTGATTTATTTTTAATTCACCCCAAGCAAGGCATTAAAGCCACTAAGACGCAAGTGGTTACTGATCATACCATATCGTCGACCGATATGAGAACAGTAAATGTCGGTTCATATTTCACGTGATTACATGAACAGAACACTAAATGTTGGTCACTCCGTTACATTATTAGAACAGCAAATATTGGTCAATCTGTCACGTGATTCACGTGAGCAGGAAACTCAATTTTGGTCACTCTGACATGTGATTCTCATGATCAGAGCACTAAATGTTGGTCACTCTATCACGTGATCTCATGATCAGAACGCTGAATTTTTGGCCACTCTGTCACGTGATTCAATGATCGCAACAGTAGACGTTCGTCACTCTAACATGTGATGACGTGAACAGAAGAGTAAGTTTTGGACACACTATCACGTGACCATGACACTAACTATTGGTCGCTCTATCAGGTGATCACGTAGATAGAATAGTAAATGTTGGTCACTGTGTTCACTGATCAAATCATTAAACGTCGGTCGTTCTATCACGTGATCACACGCTCAAAACACTAAGTATTGGTACCCCTTATCAGGTGATCACGTGGATAGAACACTAAATGTTGGTCTCTCTGTCTACAGATCAAAAACTAAATATCACGTGATGATGTGATCAGAACACTAATTACTGGTCACTCTGTCCACTGATGAAAGCACTAAATATTGGTTATTCTATCACGTGATCAGAACACGAAGTATTAGTCACACTATTCCGTGATCCTGTGATTATTTGATGGCGTGATCAGAAAAATAAATATTGGTGACTATATTAGTTGATGACGTCAGTAGAATATTGGTCACTCTGTCTACTAATAAAAACACTAAATGTTCGTCACACTATCACGTGATCATGTGATCTCGTGATCACGGGATCAGAACACTAAATATTGGTCACTATTATTTGATGACGTGGTTAGAATAATGGTCACTCTGTCCACGGATCAAAAGACGAAATGTCGGTCACTCTGCCACCGGATCACATGATCTGAACACCGAATGTTAGCCAATTTGTCACTTGATCCAATGATCACTAAAATCGATGTTGGTCACTCTAATGGGAACAGAACAGCAAGTATTGGTCACACTATTAAGTAATCCGAACACTAAATATTAGTCACCCCTATCAGGTGATTACGTGGATGGCACACTAAAGTGATGGTTACATTGTCGACTGAACAAAATACTAAATATTGACCCCATTATCCCGTTGATCAATTGATCGGAACACTAAATATTGGTCCTTCTATTAGTTGATAATGTGGATTGAATATTGGTCACTGTGTACACTGATAAAAACACGAAATATTGGTCCTTCTATTAGTTGATAATGTGGATTGAATATTGGTCACTGTGTACACTGATAAAAACATGAAATATTGGTCATTCTATTAGTTGATAATGTGGATTGAATATTGGTCACTGTGTACACTGATAAAAACACGAAATATTGGTCCTTCTATTAGTTGATAATGTGGATTGAATATTGGTCACTGTGTACACTGATAAAAACACGAAATATTGGTCCTTCTATTAGTTGATAATGTGGATTGAATATTGGTCACTGTGTACACTGATAAAAACACGAAATATTGGTCCTTCTATTAGTTGATAATGTGGATTGAATATTGGTCACTGTGTACACTGATAAAAACATGAAATATTGGTCATTCTATTAGTTGATAATGTGGATTGAATATTGGTCACTGTGTACACTGATAAAAACACGAAATATTGGTCATTATATCACGTGATCATATGTTCAAGAGATGAATTCATAAAAATCGAACTCAGGAGCAGAGAGAGAGAGAGAGAGAGAGAGAGAGAGAGAGAGAGAGAACGTAACAGAAGAATAGAACGTAACAAAGACTGGCCATAAATCATAACTGTACTGATTAACACACTAAAACTATTGTTTCCTTTTACAAAACTCGAGTCGTTATTTTGACTGGGGAGAAAGAAAAACTAGAAAGTAAGAGGGAAAAAAAGAACTGTATGTCGCTATTTTGTTTCACCTATAATACAACAATGACAATACCAGATAATAAACACAGGAAGTAAATGTATGGGAAAAACCTGAATAAAGCTGTGACGAAAAAATGGCGGAGAATAGATTCTGAGCAAGACAAGTTTCGGGTGTGTAAGGTCGTCGATAATAAAAGCTTTTTTACATACCGTATTTGTTAGTATATAAAATTCCACCCACCTGCACTCAAAAAAAAATCAGTTGTTATTAAAAAAAGTTCTTCCTGATGTTTATTTTTAGTTTTTTTTTTAATTATTTTTCTAAGATTTTAATATATTTCAATAACATCAAATGCTTATACTAACTTAAAAAGAAACACATTTGGAGAAATAAAACGTTTATGTCAACATGGGCGATATCGCCCACCGGTGGGTGGTTTCAACTGTTGGGTGGGAGATATGCAACTGAGCAGAAAATGGTGCGGGACTGGAAATTTTGGTGGACGATATAGGATTTTGAATATTAGAAAAGTATTTACCCGAAAAAATATTCAAAAAAGAACATGTATAAAAACAGGAGGTTAACTGTGTCACCTTTTTAGATAATGTATAAATATCCCTGCAAACAAGGGATATTTTTGTAATTTCTATAGTTTTTTTAGTTTTTAACATTTAAATAATTCATCAGTATCACACATAAAAATATTCACTGAATTTTTATTAGTTACTACTAGTATTTTAATTTTATAATTATGAACAAATATGCTTAATTTTTTGTCAACATTTACAATACTAACCCAAACCATATATTGACCTTCACCATAAATGTAATCGTGACCATAAAACTAAATTATATATGTAGTTTTCAATAGTCAAGTAGCATATCTCAGTGTTATTGTTATCTCCCTTTGATATTTTTACTCTATCATAAAGTCAGTTTACGAGCTTGTAACAAACATTAGCCAAACAAATTTGGTATACATTTGAATATATGCTATACAGGTGAGGGATAGAAAGATTTTCGATAGGAAAGTGAGTGCTGACGGCAAAAAGGTTGGGAACACTTGGTTATGACATCAAATATAATAAGTAACGTACTGACTTTCAGTTTCTAATATTTGAGTTCATGCGTATATTAACAAGAAGCAAGAGAAAAAAAATAATTTAACCCCTGGAAAGTGTACATTTTAATATGATACAGCAAAACTGATAAATCGACTGGGTTGCATAGACTCCCCATAACTTTAGCATTTGTCGGTACAGATATACGATTTTAGAAATGCATATAAATTAATGATTGATAAATAAAGGGAAATCATAGTACTGTATTTGCTTCAAAAGTGTTCATTTGCCAAATGTAACGAAACCCAGGGATACAATAGCAAATATCGATTAATATCGATGAATATTGTTAAAACGATCAAGCGTGGCGAATTGACGTCATGTAATTTGTTCTATGTATCGGAAAATCAATAATCTAAAATCATATCTTAAGATGAATATCTATTCATGTAAGCTGTTCTTATCAAGCGATACATAAAGATCAAGCAGGTGCAGAAATTTAAATATCTGGATAGTATAAACGTAAATATGATTCAAAAATGCATAGAAATAGCAAAAGTGAAGCCCAATAAACCAAGCAAAGTGTTAAGAATAGGAGAATAGGCGAGTATCTAATTTATATGGGAGTGAATATTGGGCAATCTATTTACAGATGAAATCAGAAGGCAAGGGTGCAGAATTTCAATACTAGACAAGATTCAATGATACTACGCTGATCCCAGCCAGAGGATGAAAGAGCAACATTTTGATGCTAGGACTGGGTTCAGTGATACTAAACTGATCCCAGCCAGAGGATGAAAGAGCAACATTTTGATCCTAGGCAGGGTTCAGTGATACTACACTGATTCAAGCCAGAGAGCGAAAGAGAAACGTTTTGATCCTAGGCAGGGTTCAGTGATACTACACTGATTCAAGCCAGAGGGCGAAAGAGCAACGTTTTGATCCTAGTCAGGGTTCAGTGATACTAAACTGATTCCAGCCAGAGAGCGAAAGAGAAACGTTTTGATCCTAGGCAGGGTTCAGTGATACTAAACTGATTCCAGCCAGAGTGCGAAAGAGCAACGTTTTGATCCTAGGCAGTGTTCAGTGATACTACACTGATTCCAGCCAGAGAGCGAAAGAGAAACGTTTTGATCCTAGGCAGGGTTCAGTGATACTACACTGATTCCAGCCAGAGGGCGAAAGAGCAACGTTTTGATCCTAGACAGGGTTCAGTGATACTAAACTGATTCCAGCCAGAGTGCGAAAGAGCAACGTTTTGATCCTAGGCAGGGTTCAGTGATACTACACTGATTCCAGCCAGAGAGCGAAAGAGAAACGTTTTGATCCTAGGCAGGGTTCAACTGATCCTAGCCAGAGCGCTAGAAATCAACGTCTTGATCATAGACAAGGTATAGTGATATTACACTGATATCAGTCACAGGGCTAAAGAGAAGATTTTGACCATGAGCATGGTCCACTGATACTACATTGGCCCCAAGCAGAGGTCTGAAGATTAACGTTTTGATCCCAGACAGGGTCTACTGATACTACACTGATCCTAACTGTCTTGATCCTAGGAACTACTCTGCAAGTGACAATCAACATCTGAAAATACTAGTCCAACAAAACCCACATTAAAGTGCCAGAGAAATGTCTCAGATAATGAGTGTCAGTATTTCAGTAATATCGGACCATTTGAAGAAAACTGACATGGTCAAGAAACTCAGTAAATGTGTTTCTCATGAACTCAGTGAAAGTCAGATTTCGCCGTTTTGAAATGTATTCGATACTGCATCTGCGACATTCAAATGATCCATTTCTTGATTGAATAGTGACCTCTGACAAGAAATGAATACTTTAGGACAAACGAAAACGATCAGCTCAATGACTTCATCATGACAAACATTCCAAATACGAAATTATACCATTATAGTTCACCATAGGCGTTATCCCTGAGTGCTTTCTGGTTTGGTTTGGATTGTTTTGTATTACGGTATATCAACCTCCATGTGTTATTTAATACCGACAAGATTTTTATTACTGGCAATAATTCTTTTTCCAAAAATGTATTGCTGGTATTCATTTTTTCCAAAAATGTATTGCTGGTATTAAAACCTATTTTTACACTTTCATAATGTTTTGACCCCAGTTTGGGGTTAACAATTTGTCCATAGCTAGGACCCTAATAGGTGCTACCACCTCGGGTCAGAGTAGACCTGTGAAAAACCACGCTCCTCAAAACTTCCTGATCAATGTCCTTGCTGTCGGATGTCGTTTATCGTCATACACAAGACGCGGATGTAGTTTTTCGTCATACCCAGAACGACTCATTCGAGGCGGAGGTGGGTGGGCTTACCTCTCTGCAGGGCATACAGCTTTCTGGAATCTAAGCAGTGCATCACTTCTAACAACTGTATGAAATGCACATCGATTTAAGGTTTTGACAAGGTCCAATTCTACTTCATGAAAAAAATCTTCGGCCATATGTTTGCCAGGATGATATTGCAGAAACCTCACCGACTTTGGATACGAAACTTTACCATATCTCTGATCTCTCGCCCACTGACTACCACTATTTCATGTTGAGATTTTCCAAGCGTAGCTTAGATGAGGCACAAGGCCGAAAGTATGGGGCACCCAATGAGGATCGAACTCACTACTCAGTCGTAATTATTCTAGCGAGATAAGCTCACTAACCATTAGACCACCTCGAGGTGCCCTATGATTTTCCAATCGTAGCTTAGATGTGACACAAGACCAAATGTATGGGGCACCCAGTGAGGATCGAACTCATTACCCAGTGCTAACCATTATACTGCCTGGAGGTGTCCTATCACTTTTTCATGTATCCTGACATTTTTTTTAAGCCCAAAGACATTACGTTGCAAAGAAGTCGCAGAAACTGCATTGAGTTCTACTTGACGTCCGAACCTTTCAAGTTTTATTGCAACGGCATAAGCAATCTCGTATCTCGATGACAGAAATGTATAGATGTCAACAGTTCCTATTTTAACGGATTTAAATACTGTTTACAGACATTAATTCAGAAGTAAAAGTTGATTCTAAAATCTGACATTATTTTCCAGACAACGTGATAGCAAAGGGTGCAAGTAAAACTATTTGCCATTGAAACGAATTGTAAATGATTTTATTACAGAAATACAATTATACTATTAGCTTTTGATGTGACCCATGATATTCGGGGAAGGAATTTTTAAAAGATTACAAAGCGACGCAACAAGTATGTGCTGCATTCTGTTAATTAGAAATACTCTGGAAATAAATAGAGAAATTCATTTTAAATCACAATTCTAGTTTAGCTATGTCCTAAAAAATGACCGCATATTTTGTTTCATATACATATCTATTTTTCAAATATATTTTTAAATAAATATATAGAAATGCATGGAGTAGATTATAGAGAGAGACTGTTTATATTACCTACTAGCAGTAGAACCCGGCGTTGCCCGGGGATGTAACAGTAAGAGATAGATCAAGTATCGACCATCATAAAGACTGAAAAATAAAAGTGACAAAGATTATTGTTTAAGGTTGACGGACACGCATGCCTTAATTAGTTTTATATTTTTTTTTTATTTCTTTTAATTTTTTTACGAATTGGTCAAACCCAAACTCAAACAAAAACATTGTTTTCAATCGTTATGAGTCTACCGATTGAATAGAATTTTATTATAAACAATTGTCTTGTAAATGGAATTTTTAAAGCATTCTGAATGTAAAAATAAAGAAAAAAAGTGTGCAAGACAATAAGAAACACTACCTGCCAAAAAAGTGAAGTTTTGTTGAAATCGGTTGAAAAATGTAGGAAATCCGATCCCATATATAAACGAACACACACACACGCACACACACAC